CCCCAAAACCCCAAAACCCCAAAACCCCAAAACCCCACTGGATTAGAGTTCGGGATAATTAAGGATTTAGATTATATTTACAATTTATTTACTCATTTCATTAACTGCCAATTTGAAAGGGAGATTATACTGGAATTTTGTAATCATTCCATCGTCAAAGACAAGAGTCATTAAGAGTCTAGCCTTTTCAAATATTAAAACAAAGCTACAAGATAAGGTAGAAAGTGAGACCAATAATAGGTGGAATAAAGTAAAGTAGTTATCTTTATCATAAGAGTCTTAAATAGTGATACTTGACATTCTGACTCATTAAACATAAATAAAACAATACAAATAACTAGATCAAACATCAATAAATGCTAATAGCAATATTTGATAGGGTATTAATCATCAAATAGGTTGTAAATTTGTGGAAATCCATTAAAACTTCTACTTTGTGTGATACGACTTTAATTAAAAATTCTTAATATTAAATATATTGATAATGGTTCTATTATTATTAACTAATATTTAAGATGAAGACTCATCAGAGTAATATCATATCTTGTGCTAAGCTTTTTAGGTGTCTCAAGCCAAAGAAGAAAGTCAAGAAAGGCTCACTTTAGCGCTCCTTCAAGCATTAGAAGAAAGATCATGAGCAGCCATTTGAATAAGGAGTTGAGAACCAAGTACGACGTGCGCTCTATTCCCGTCCGCAAGGGTGATGTCGTAAAAGTCATGAGAGGTACTGGCAAGGGCAGAGAAGGCAAAGTCCTCACAGTCTACAGAAAGAAATGGGCTGTTCACGTCGAAAAACTCACCAAGGAGAAGTCCAACGGTAATTCAACCAATTTGATGAGCTTTTTCTTTAGGTACCCAAGTCCAGATCCCAGTACACGCATCAAACCTCCTCATCACCTAACTAAAGATCGACAAGAACAGAAAAGCGATCTTGGAAAGAAAGAAGAGAGTCACCAAGGAAAAGAACAAGCACAAGGAAGGTCTCGCCGGCCTCGACTGAGTCATCTCAAGCACTAGCACCAGTCATTATAACTTTGGTTGCCAAATAAAATCTTTCCCAATATTCTTTCTTTTTTCTCTTTATATATATTACCCTAATATACAATTAATAAATCTCCCTATTAATTATTTATCATATATATTCATTAAGTATTAAGAAAGGAAATTTCATATATATTGTAGATAGTTTTCACTGTGTCCACTCACTCATAAATAATGTTATCAAATTAAACAAAGTTTGAGCAAAGGAATATAATTCGATAATTTTCAACATCTTGTGAAATTCAACTCAGGTTGATGCTCGTATTTCATTGTAACTAGCCTCCTCACTTCTTTTTCTTGAATACTTTATTAAGTAAACTTTTAATGCCTGCTTTTTGTATTTCATCTTCATCGTCTAGGTTGAAACTAAGCTAATATTTCCCACTAGAATTACTGCTTTATTGAAAACTCTAAGTTCTCTCTTGTTCATAGGTTGACTACTTATTTTCAGAGAGATCACTTTGATCTATAAGGCTTTCGCTTCGGCTGTTTGCTTTAGGCGTCTAGGAGGGATCTCTGAATAGTTTTAATTTTTCCTTTAAAGTGATTCTAAAAGAGTCTGTTTTGCAAATAGTAATTACTTTTGAACTTTACTCTCCTCATCCAAGGCTGACGAGTTACCATTTATTGTTGAGCTGAAACTATATTTTTCTTATCTTTATCTCTCAATTATATATTTCCCTTCTTCTGCTCTTTCTTCTGCAAACTCACTGTCAAAAGCATATTGCTTAAGACCAATGCAACTCAAGAATCGACCTAAAATAACACATAAGCTATTGAATATTTTATACTGTAAATGTTAAATGCTGTTAAGATGACCATCGCCAAGAGACACACAGGGAATACCCACTGATTAAAATGAGTTCCCAAGAACTGAACATATCTGACTGGACCCATAACTCTATACACAGCTGCATCTTCCATTTAAGTTAAAATTAAGAAGTTGTAACAGATGGGCACTCCGAGTCTCATCATGAATAAGCAGGAATAGAGTAAGCAAGGTGAATCTGTTTGTTTATTTTTATGCAAAGCATAAATATTTGAAACTTTTAACTGGAATAAACCGTAATTTGATGCAACTACTATATACACTAGAGGAATCAAGCATACCAACTATTGATATAAATTATCTAACCTAATTTACATGAGATAAGAAATAGCTAGATTCTTTTTCAAGCTCTGGGGCATTTATAATATTGTAAATTATGTTGTTTTTTGTTCCAAAGAAGTTAGCGATTTCCGCATATATAATTATGATACTCAAACCCAACGTTGCAGCAGATAGTATTAGCATTAGAGAGGGCTTGAGGTAAACATACCACAAATAAACTATGAATATTATTAAAAAAATCTATTTCTGACTTACTTATTAGCTTAATAGTTTTCTGTAATTTAGAGTTGCCTCTTTATTTCAATAGTATTGATTAAATCGCCCATTAACCCTTGCTGTCAATAATATCTTGAGTTAATATGGCTTTTTCAATGTTTTCCCCTCTAAAAGAAGTAAGTCTCGATAAATCAGTTGACTCTTATCTAAATTTATTTCTGTATCTCACTAGTTTATTATAATCAATAAAGCCTTTGAAATCACTAGGCATCTTTAACTTATTTCTAGGGTTATATTGCATATTCAGACCTCCGATTTCCTCTATTTGTTTACAAAACGAATCAATCTATAGTAATTTGCTTAATGATTTTTTTCACTAGAGTTTCAATATCTTACATCTTCAATAATGACTTTTCTGTAGAGTTCTAATTCATTTTTTACTTTTATCATGTACCCAATATTAATCATATCCTGAACCTTTTAGATCTTTGCTCTATGCTAGCCCTCATACTCAGCTGCCTTCTATTAATAGTGCCTCAATTTCTTATAGTTAGAGGCGAATTTAAAGTAAGAAATTGGAATCTTCACTAGGCCATAACCTAACAAAATAACTATGCTTAGCAGACCAAAGACCAAGGATAAACCGATGATACATCCAACAATTCCTTCACTATAATAAGGTTTGATTACAGCAATTAAGAATCTTACTTTTCAAGAGCTTCTCTTCCTGATTTAGTTACAGCGAGAATTATGATAACAATAATGAATAAGACAAGATAAACCACCAGCATTGGAACATTATTTCTAATCGATCTCATAATCCTCTCTTTCACAGTGAAATCAGCGGCCCCCAGATACTCTATTAAGAAAGGCAATATAAACCAGTTCATCAAAAATACTGCCCAATATATCACATACCACCATACCACTAGGAAATCATCTACTTCTCCATTTACTTTTACCTATAATATCAGATTAGAACATGATGAATAATGATGAAAACTGTCTATGACTTATTTCGCATAATTCTAAACTTACAGTATATATATCCAGAGGTACAAGCATAATTATAGTAAGACCAAAGAACCATCCGATCACAGTCAGTGCTTTTACATAAAGGGGTGTTCGATCCTTTGCAGCGTACTACTAAGCAAGGTATGTGCAGTAGATAAGTACCAAAATTGCCTCGATTAAAGCCACTATCCAAATCTTATTCATTTTAAAATTTATAATATGCTTTTCACTTATTATAACTTACCATCCTTTTTCTTATTTTCTCAAATTGGGGTTTTGGGGTTTTGGGGTTTTGGGGTTTTGGGG